TTTGTGAGTTTCATTTTACAAGATAATTATTTTTCAGCATTTTACTTGTAAACTGGCCACTATGTTGGTTTTAACATATCGAAATTAAACATTCGTGTTGATGAGCAACAACTGAAAATACTGTAACATTTAAATTAATAATAATTAGAACGAGTCTATATACTTTAAATATCGACATTACTTTTTAGCATTTTTCGAATATACAGCTGCCATATTAGGTTTCGTCATATTTAAATATGACGTCCCAATTGTTAATTTATGATCAACATCTGAAAATGTATTATATGTTTTCATGGAAATTGAACACAGTTTGTAATTTATAAAGCAGGAAATAGTTATTTTTTAGCATTTCACGGAAAATTTGGCCGCCATATTGGTTTTAGACAAACTAAAAATTCATTTTTTTCCATAGATTCAATGCTAGTTACTAAATAAACCCATTAACACATATTTTTATGAAAGTCGAAATTGTTTTATAACTTTTAACGATTTTATTTGTCATACCTTGTTACCCGCAGACTTCGGCCACTATATTGGGGTCCGCCATGCTGGTTTTTCAAAAGGCCACAGCTCAAATAAAACTACATATATAAAACATATATAGCTATAAAATTAGCCCCGAAGAAATTTTCCAGATGACCCCAATTTTTGGACACGGGAGGTGTCTGATTTGACAGAGAATGTCCCATATATATAAGCAAAAGAAACAAATTTTATTTATATATACCGGTTTCAGACCACCCAGGTCACCCGAGTTTTTCGTTAACGCGACATATTAGAGAAAAATATTTCAGACAAAATTTGTAAGGCTTCAAAGGATCTATTTACTGATGCTATGAATTTGACCTTGGGATAACCTTGAAAAGTCCAGTCAAGATCAACATAAAAATCTGAAATGGAAACCGCGATTTTTTATTACATCGTCTTTTTCCACCAATTAATTTGAACAACTTTTGTTTAAAATATTTTTTCATTTGCCTAATATTTTTCTAGATATTGAAGGAAAACTTTATAACTTTTTCAATATTTAACTTACGATATCTCGCTAACTAGTTATCGGAAGAAAAAGTGGTACTAGACTTTTTTGTCCTATTTAGTCTCAAGAATATATTTTTACAATAGCGCCCTGACTTTTGTTAACTTGCTGATTTTTGGAAATTTCAAAATCATCAAATTAACCAAATTCAGGGCGCTATTGTAACAATATATTCTTGAGACCAAGTAGAATAGAAAAGTCTAATACCATTTTTTTATCCCGACAAACAGTTAGCGAGATATCGGAAGTTAAATATTGAAAAAATTACCAAGTTATCCTTAAATATCTAAAAAAAATATTAGGTAAATAAAAAAATGTTCAGACAAAAGTTATTCAAATTAATTGCTAGAAAAAGATGTAATAAAAAATTGGGGTATCCATTTAAAATTTTTGTTGATCTTGACTGGACTTTTCAAGGTTATCCCAAGGTCAAATTCATAGCGTCAGTAAATAGATCCTTTGAAACCCTACAACTTTTGTCTGAAATATTTTTCTCTAAAATGTCGCGTTAACGAAAAAATCGGGTGATCTGGGTGGTCTGAAACACCCGGTATATATGTATATTGGATTAGCAACTAAGTTATTGCGGATTTCACTGATAGATAGTGTTAGTTGAATTTTTAGGTATATTTCCGTATTCGAAATGTCAAACCCATATTGTTGTTTGATAGTTGGTACTTCAATTGGCATTCAATAAAAAAATTGTATTGATCGGTTGTGTAGTTTTTATTTAGCGTCGGTTGAAAAATGAAAAAGCAAAACGAGCATTTTCGTCTTATTTTACTTTTTTACTTCCGCAAAGGAAAAAACGCATCGCAAACTCACAAAAGTTATATGCTGTATATGGTGGCAAAGCCTTAAAAGAACGCAGTGTCAAAATTGGGTGGCTAAATTTCGTTCTGGTAATTTTTCACTCAAAGATGAACAACGCTCTGGTCGCCCAGGTGAAGTTGATGACGACTGAATCAAAGCAATAATCGATGCGGATCGTCATAGCATGACACGTAAGATTGCAGAGAAGTTCGATGTATCATATGCATTGAAAAGCGTTTAAAACATACGTAAAAAAACTCGATTCATGGATTCCTCATTTAAAGAAATTCACTTAACACAACGCATTACCATCTGCGATTTGCTTATAAAACGTAATGAAAATGATCCATTTTTGAAACGATTGATAATTGGCGATGAAAATAGGTTGTTTACAACATCAATCGAAAAAGATCGTGGAGCAAGTAAACTGAACCAGCGCAAACAACATCCAAAGTTGATATTCATCAGAAAGCTATGTTACCAGTTTGGTGGGATTACAAAGGAACTGTCTACTTCGAAATTTTACCACGCAAGCAAACGATCAATTCAGATGTATACATTCAACAACTAACAAAACCAAACTAAACAATGCAATTCAAGAAAAGTGACTAGAATTGACAAATCGAAAAGGTATTGTATTCCACCATGACAATGTAAGGCTACACATATCTTTGGTCACTCGGCAAAAATTATTGGAGCTTGGTTGGTATGTATTGTCACATCCACCATATAGTCCTGACCTTGCATCATCAGATTATTATTTACTTCGTTCTTTGCAAAACTTCTTGAATGGTAAAAATCTCAATAATGATGATGATGTCAAACTGCACTTAGTTCAGTTTTTCGCCGATAAAACCACAAGTTTTATGAACGTAGAATTATGATGCTACCTGAAAGATGGCAAAAGGTCATTGATAAAAATGGACAATACATTACTGCATAAAGTTATTTCGTTCCATGAAAAGATTCTTTTATTTTCTTAAAAAAATCCGCAATTACTTAATTACTAAACCAATATATATATATATATATAATCATTACCAATAATAAGAGATGTAATATTATGTAATATTCAAGTAAGATGAACCCATGGATTTGTAGCCACACACATGTAATAAAATAACAAACTTATAATTATTTATTATATTTCGAGAATAACAGCCACATACGGCATTTTTATACAATTGTGCTGAATGTGTAAATGTATGTATGTATGTGTGCGCGCGCGCGCGCGCGTGTGTGTGTATGTGTGTGTGTGTGTGTGTGTGTGTGTGTGTGTGTGTGTGTGTGTGTGTGTGTGTGTGTGTGTGTGTGCGTGCGCGCGCGTGTGTGTGTGTGCGTGTGTATGCGTGCGTGTATGCGCGCGCGCGCGCCACGCACATGTGTATGTATTTAATTTTTCTACATAATATCAAAAAAAACCTAAAACATATAAATAGAATATGTACAAAAACACGAAAGCGTTAAATTTATAAAATCCAATATCAGATCCAACAGAAATTTATTTACGGGATAGTGCTTTATGGTGCTTGTTTGTTTGGTATACGAGGTGTTTGGATCTGCGATCCAAGTCCACTTCTATTTCTACTTAAAAATTGCACGCATAATAATGTCATATTATAATGAATTTATGACTATATTCTACATTGAACAACGTACGTTCAAGATAGTGCTGCAATAGAAAACAAACTTCTATACCAATAATTATACATTACAAATGCTAATTATAAATAGAGAAATTAACACTTTTAGTATAAATATTCTATTTGCAGCGTGTGCGCGTACGTGCATGCGTGCGCGTGTGTACATGTGTGGTATGTATATATATTATACAGTTATCTCGCTAATTTCAAGAACATTTTTATCATCATGTATTTTCAACGATTCTTACAGAATTTATGCTTGTATTCGTAAATTTTTCGGCATCCTCATATTATCCTTGCATCTCGATTCTGTAATATATTTTACTTCATCTTTAACAATCATCAGATAAAATAAAGACTTTATAATAGGCAATTCTACCTTAAAACTTATAAACGTTAAAGATAAAGATATTTCGCGATAGTGATTCAACACTTTACTTCTAGCCCTTGTTTATTTGAGTAAAAACAAAAATTAGGAGTTGTATTAAATTTTGTGAGAATAAGTAACGAAAATGAATAAATTTACATTGAGTTGTTGGCGGCAATGCTACCGTATACGCACACTTTTTGATTTAATATATTATACTTGCCAAGTATAAAATGGTAAAACTACTTTCTCATCATGTTACATTTCAATATAGAAATCTTGGACCAAGTAGAGATTTTAAATTATATAAAAATAGCCACCCGCGAATACCTAATTACACGTATTTAATGTCATAAAGATGAAAAGTTAAACTTTCCATTCTTAATCATCCGATATAATGGAATAGAAGAAAATCACGAATGACTATAAATTATGGTCGAAATGAAAGATAAATGACATATGGTGAATTATAAGAAATCGAATATTTTAATATATCTATTTAAAAATAGAAGGAAATATCTAAGAGAACTTATACAATTAAAGAAAAACAAATTATGATACAACTTTTTTCTTAAAGTCATTTTCAAAGTCATTGTCAGAATAACCTTATTTTTTAATAAAATAACATAATTTTTTGCATAAATCAATTCCATTCGTAACAGTTTGCGTATAAAAGTATTAAAATAAAGTTATTGAAAAATAGATATTTTTTTAGATATTTCATATCTTATTCTGATAATTTTTTACATAAGATATGGCATATTTAGTAATTTCTTTAGTTTATGATGACTTTACTTTAATACTTTTATATGTAGAATGACGAAGAAAATGGATTAAAGTAAAAAAGGATAAAAAACAAAAATAAAATTTATTGTATTTTGATACATACTGATATACTATGTCTTCGATCGATTTTCTTTAATATTTTATGTATAATAATATTAGAATAATATTATCAAAAGGTGAATACTTTATGAAATATTCCATATTTTATGCTAAAAAGTACCTGAATAAAATATAAAATATCTTAAGTGTTCATTTTTCGATACTTATTGAAGACTCGTGTTTCTTCACCACGATTATTTCGAATTATGATGTCAGAAGCAAGAAAATATATACTAAAAGTTCTTGTAAAATACATTGAAATATATATATATTCACAAAATGACATTTATAATCGACAGAATAAATCTGTAAAATAATTTGAATACCTTTCCTTTGCCCTAATAATCGATAAATAACAAATTAACATGACAGAATCATGAGAAAAGATAAGTTAAGACTCCTAGGTAAACTTGCCGCAGCTATATTCGGCAGTGACGTCAGAAGCAAGAAATAACATGCTGAAAATTCTTGCATATTATTTTCAAATAAAAAGATATTTGTATGAAAGCATACTTAAGATAGCTAAAGCATATTTGTAAAATGCTCTGAACATATATATTTCTTCCTTGCTAATCAACAACTATAAAATGGCTTTAATACGAAATTTAATCAGGCGCATGCGCAATCATTATGTATATGTAATCCCATATTTTAGTTATTTTACAGCTGTTGATTAACTTTCAAAGAAAAAGCATAATGTTTAGAGCATTTTACAAATATACTCTAGCAACCTAAAATATTTTTTCATAAAAATATCTTTTTATTTGAAAATGGCACGCAAGAAATTTGATTGATGCATTTTCTCGCTTCTGACATCATCAAACAAGAATTTCACGGCAAAGGACCAAGGGCCTTAAAAAAGTAGATTGAATATGTCACGTTAATTGTATGGTAATTTATTTATTGTTAGAGTAAAGGAAAATGTTCTATTGTACATATTTGCTATTTATAGCTATTTTACATATTTGCTTGATCTATTACTAATATCATTTTATAAATATATTTTTTTATCTCAACATATTTTGCAAGGATCTACTATGTATATTTTCTCGCTTCTAACATCATCAATCATAAGCTGTGTGGCGAAGAACCAGGAGTCTTAATAGAGTGGCAAATGGAATCGACTTTTTCGAAAAAGAGAAAACTATGATCTCAATAAGAAAACTAATATGATCTCATTAAGAAAAAAAGAGTCATTTTAATACAGTCTTGAAGGTAATTTTAAAGGATAATGCGTTTTTACCTTGTAATTTGTCCATTCATATCAGTATAAGTTTTATTAGATATTTTCATCTATTTTTAAACTTGACAGATATTTAGGTCTCCTGTTTCTTGTGACTTACCCTGTATAATCCTTTCATTACCACGCGGAACACAAAAATCCGAGAAAACATATCTGCTAACATAACAGATGTGGTAAATGAAACCATTATGCTTAAAAAAACAATGGAATAAACAGAAAAGAAGATGTAAAGGAAGAAGGAATAAAATAGATGAAAAAGAATCAACCGACCGTTATCGTTTCTTACGAAATAACAACCCTTACTAACCGTTATAACAGTATCCGATTTGATTAAATAAGTATGTTTAAAGTAGAACAAACCTCCATGCTGACCAACTTGGACAAATTAAATCAAATCAAATATGTATCGGTACGTGGACCAATAATTCGGCGCGGCTCGAAAACACTGCCGCACACATCTCGCACGTATATTCCACAGCGTCCGGTATTATCGTTTCCGGGACATCATCTACCGGCGTGATAACACTATGAACGGCCAGCATCCGTTGCGGCGCCGATTCCACTTTCACACTTAGTTTAACATCCCCATTGCCAATCTCTTCTCCGGTATCAGGCAAAATACTTTCTTCCTCATCGTCGTCCTCGTCCTCCTGGTCTTCTGCAGTCACGACACTCGCCTCGAAAGCTACTTCCAAATTACTACCATCCATTGTATGGTCCATCAACCGTACAGAATCGCCATTATTTTCCGTTACATTGTTGTTATTTCGTAATTGTAACTGATATTCTTGATGTTGCTGTTCTTGTTGTTCTTCGGTACCTGACTCAGACGTATCCGAACGTTCTTGTTTTACTATGTGTTTCTGTCTTTTAGTTTTCTTTAGGGTAGATGACTTTTTCTTGGCTAATGATTCACTCTTAAGAAGACCAAGCATATTACCATTGTTATTCCTATGACTGCCGCCTGTGGACGCTGCCTTTTGTGCATCTGATTCGACTTTGATGTTTGTCAACAGCAATTGCTGTTGCGATTGCTGTTGCATCGACATCGGATCTGTATCTTCTTTCATCTTTAAGAACGTTGCCGGTGAGAGTTGTTGTTTGCCCTCAATATGATAACTAACGTTTTTAGTGCGCGGCCGATTCCTCTCACCGCCCGAAAAGATGCCTGGCTTATGTTCATTTGGCATGACCTTTGGCGTTCGGGTTACCATTGTTTTCGTTTTCTGTCCTTTCTTCACACCGTCGCTACCCACCTCCACTGGCACTCGCGTTTTTTGTGTGTGGATCATTTTTGGTCGACCTGATTGATTCGACGCTTGTGTCTCGCTTCTTTTCTCTTCTTTGCGTAGCTTTTTTTTCGAAAGCTTCGACTTTGACGTATTCAATTTAGAGTTGTTCACGATTGAGTTTATATTTTGTAGTGAACTTTCAAAACTTTTTAACACATTTTGATAACCTTCCTCAACATTGGATTTATGTTGTTTGTTTTTGCGACTGAGTTTCCGTTTTATATTTTCCTCAGAATCGGAATCACCAATACCTCCGTTGCCGCCACTACCACTGCCACCATTATCGCCACCATGATCGCCAATGCTATCGCCAATGCCAATGCTGACGCCAACGCCAACTCCAACGTCACCACTACCGCCACTTATACCATCGCCGCCGCCACCACCGCCACTACCATCACCACCTTCTATCATGTCATAAAATTCGTTCCTGCGCAATATTGTGTTGGTCTCATGAGGTTTTAATTTGCGTCTTCTTTTGTACTTGCGTGGACCAGTTTGTGGTTGACGTCTTAATGCAGTATTGTCATCACAATGCTGCACAATATGAGCCACTATTTCCTCAGATGTGCCATATGCTTCACCGCATACCTTACATAAAAATGGTGTTGCACTGCCTACGTATTTAGGGTCTGGTCCGGAATGATGGGCGCGTACATGTTCCCTGAGAACCACCTGTGAAAATAAGGATATTGAATTTGATTATTCGTGCGTTTTTTTAGGACAAAAGTAATGGGTATAAAGGGCCGATTTTGGCTCATCGTAGGGAGCGGACGAAACATATTTCCAGAGGATTTTGACCCATTGAACACGATGCTGTCGTTAGTTTTCTTCTAAAACCCAGGGAACATATTCTAATCCGAGAATCTATCATCCAATAATCGAATGGCTCAGGAAACCTTTGCATAAACTTTGAAGCTATTGGAAACTCGTTTATTCGTCAATAAATAAAACCCACGGTGAGGAATGTTAGTAGAGTGAACACGAGACAGTCATGAGCTTTCATCCATAATCCCAAAAGTACTCCAAGTCCAATAATCGCACACTCAATAACCCGGAGCATACTTGTACCAAACATTCGAGTTACTTGACAGCGTTGATTTGATATCGAACGCAAGCTTGAATCAAACGAGAAACTCATCAGTTGCTTTTCTAGTTGCGGCTTCCAACACTTAGAGCATCTAAAGCTCAATAACTTTCAGTTCAGTAATTCTATAACCCGAAGCATGCTTGACCCGAACATGAGTTACTTAAACAGCGTTAGCTTGACGATTAACGAAAGCTTGAATGAAACGAGGGAATCAGTTCCTGCTTCCAACTCTGAGAACGTCCAAGGCTCGAATGTTTGGTACGAGTAGCGTAGTATGTTCCAGGTTATTGAGTGTTTATTGGGCTTGAAGTGCTTTTGGGATTAAGGATGAAAGCTCATGACTCTCTCGTGTTCACTCTACTAACATTCCTCACCGTGGATTTCATTTATTGACGAATACACGAGTTTGCAACAGCTTTAAAATTTACGTAAAGGCTTTCCGGGCCATTCCATTATTGGATGATAGATCCTCGGATTAAAACATGTTCTTCGGATTTTGGAGGAAAACTAATGATGACATCGTATTCAGCAGGTCAAAATCCTCTAGAAATGATGTGTTTTGTCCGTTTCTTACGATGGGCCAAAATCCCCATCCCTTTATACCCATTGTTCTTTCAAAATTAGAAAGGTATCTACAGATAGGAAATATTTAAGATACTTATTTTTTAGAACACAACATGATTTTACTTTGGGAGTGCTACAATTCAAACTCTCATTTTATGATATGATATTAATATTAAATTACAACTTGGAGATCATGCTGATTATTTTGTAATTTTTTTACACGTACACGCATGCACGTACACAACTGTTATTCAAATCATCCTCCATGTTATATTTCGACTATAACCTCACTTCCCATTGTTAAATCTTGAAATCACTCAAGTCTGGAGACTTTGAATATATAAAAAACAAAGTTTCATAAAGATATTATTACTTCTTAAATTTTTTAGTGAATTTGTCATTTATACTTTTGTATAATCAAATAATAAACTCACTCTCTGATTAAAAGCTCGAGGACAAATGGCGCAACCATAAGGCTTCTCGCCAGTATGAATACGTTCATGTTTCCTCAAAGTACCACCATCGGCAAATGCCTTCCAACAAAACCGACAACCATATGGTCTCTCGCCAGTATGGATACGTATATGAATTTGTTGCGAGCTACGACTGCCAAAGGTCTTTCCACATTCGCGGCAGGGAAAAGAACGCCCGCCCAGATCCTTATTATGTGAATGACGATGGCTTACGAGAGCTCGTCCGTCAGGAAATTCCTCACCACATTCATCACAAGCTACCATCTTATTACGGTGTGATACCATATGCCTATAAATACAATTGATTACATATAGATAAAAAATACGTATGAAGAAATTTATTGAATATAGAGAAAAGTAACATGAATATGCGAAATATTATATGAAATATTATGAAATATTATATAAATATTATTGAATGAAATGTGAAAATATTTTTTCCAATAAAATATAACAAATATAAGTTTGTAACTATTATTGTACGATACATGACAAGAAAGAAAAAGAAAGAGGGGAAAAGAAACAAAATATGTACATTCGGTTTAAGTTTAATGTGAACTTTTTTTGATATTTTAAAACGCAACCAATATCTAATAGAACTTATTTCTGTATAATTTCTAGAAATTTTTTAGGTATCGATAAATCCTAATTAACATTGCAAAAATGTTTAAAAAATGTTAAAAAAGAGTATATGCTAGCACATAAAATGTTCTTTTTTTATTTTTATTTTACTTACCTTCGCAATCTGGCTTTACTATGAAAGCGTTTTCCGCATTTTGTACAACCAAAAGTTTTATCGACATTGTGGACCCATGAATGCTTCAGTAAACTACGTTTATCTTTGCATGTCTTCCCACATAGTGTACATGTATTCGGCGGCGCATCCTCAGCGTGATTTTGCCGTACATGTTCCGCTACGTCGGCGTCGTCACGACATCTTGCTCCACATAACAAGCAACGGCGACTAGGAGATCTTGCAACAAAATTTTATAAGTATATGTCATCTATATACATGTGTGTGTGCGTATGTGCGTGCGTATGCGCTAAACGCATTTGCTAAAAAATAATAGTTAAAAAATACGAATTTTGACCTATTACGGGGAACGAACAAAATATGTCATTTCTATAGGATTTTTACTTGCTGTCAAATACGATGCCGTTGTTAGTTTTCCTCTAAACCCGTCAATTTAATAGTTGAAGGTGTTCTATTTTTATGCAAAATTTGCTAACAAATAATATACACGGTCACAGATCAATCGTATCGATTTTTTGTAAACGTGATATTTTAGGGAAAAATGTTTCAGATAAAAGTTGTATGGTTTCAGAGGGATCATATAACAACTATATCATTTTCTTTATAGATGGCGCCACTTTCGAGATATTCACTGATCATTACTTTCTTTAAACAGAAACCCCAATTTTTTATTATATCATCTTTTTCTATCAATTAATTTTAACAACTTTTGTCTGAAATTTTTTTATTTGCCTAATATTCTTTGAGATATTTATGGAAAACTCGGTAACTTTTTCAATTTAATTTACAATATTTCGCTATTTGTCGGAAGAAAAAATAGTACTAGACTTTTTTACTCAAGAATATATTGTTACAATAGCGCCCTGACTTTTGTTAATTTGATGAAATTTGAAATTTCCAAAAGTCAATAAGTTAACAAAAGTCAGGGTGCTGTTATAATAATATATTCTTAGATTAAATAGAGCAGTTTAGTACCACTTTTTCTTCCAAATAGTTAACGAGATATTGTAAGTTAAATATTGAAAAAGTTACCGAGTTTTCCTTAAATATCTCAAAAAATATTAGGCAAATAAAAAAATATTTCAGACAAAAGTTGTTTAAATTAAATGGTAGAAAAAGACGGTGTAATAAAAAATTGGGGTTCCTATTTAAGAAAAGTAATGATCAGTGAATATCTCGAAAGTGATACCATTTATAAACAAAATATATAGTATAGTTGTTATATGTTCCCTTTGAAACCATACTATTTTTGTCTGAAACATTTTTTCCTAAAATGTCGCGTTTACAAAAAATCGATACGGTTGATCTGTGACCATGTACATTATTTGTTAACAAATTTTGCATAAAAAAGAACACCTTCAACTATTAAATCGAAAATATTTCTAAATCGAAAATTTAAACTGTCTTCAGCTAATTTAGCTAATACACAAGTTTACAATAGCTTCAAAGTTCACGCAAAGGCTTCCCGAACCATTCGATTATTGAATGATAAATCCTCGGATCTGAACATGCTCCCCCCCCGGGGTTTAGAGGAAAACTAATGATGGCATTGTGTTCAGCAAGTCAATATCCTATAGAAATGATGTGTTTTACCCGTTCCCCACGATGGGCTAAAGTCTGTATTTTTTACCTACTGTTCTTTGTTCAATTCAAAGAGAACCAAAGTGAATATAATTAACATGTTATATTTCTTTGTCAGTATTTCTTTTTATCACCAATATTAAATGAATCAATAAATTTTTTTACATAACCTTGAAATTATTTTCATCGCTACAGAAACTATTATATAATAAAAGATAAAGACATGGTTATACCTAGCATGAAGTTCTGCATGTGCTAATAGTGCCAATGCTTCTTCGAACCATTCACCACAAACATTGCACACGTGATGCTGACTGGAACCTTCCATTGTGTCCGTTTCTTGCTTGATATGAATTCTAGATACATAATATCAAAGTTAATATTTAAAGATAAAAACATTAATATTATCAGTAACATGTTCGAGTTATTATACGGATTAACGGAAAATGTTTAAATAACAGTTTTATTTTAATAAACTGTTTAATGAAATATTTCATTATCAATATAATATCCCTGGCGAAAATATTTCTACAAGAAACTATAAGAAACTGCGTGAATTGGAACACTTTTAAAGAAAGTAAGAAATCATTTCAGACTCTGTAAGAATTCGAAAAACTGCGTTTCTATGAAATTCTTTATTCATTGCCTGAGTAATTATGCAATTTCTTTCTTTTTTCTAAACATTTACCTTGAAATATTGAAATGTATTTGTCATCAAGGTCATTACCCCCATTAATGTTATGAAGATTAACATATTGTTATAAACAATAAGCGCAAGCTCTATAATTTTATATTATATATCTCTATAATCTTATATTATAGCTTGCGCTTATTGTTTATAACAATATGTTAATCTTCATAACATTAATGAGGGTAATGACCTTGATAACAAATATGAAAATTATTGACATTGGAAGGGTGATCCCTTTTCTCCATATTTATCATTCTTCATTTTTTATTTCTAGGAAAATTTCAGTATTTCAAGGTAAATGTTTAGAGAAAAGAAAGAAATTGCATAATTACTCAGGCAATGAATAAAGAATTTCATAGAAATGCAGTTTTTCGAATTCTTACAGAGTCTGAAATGATCTCTTACTTTCTTTAAAAGTGTTCCAATTCACGCAGTTTCTTGTAGAAATATTTTCGCCAGGGATTTATGTTTATAATACATGTATAGAATATTACAGATTCTCAGTACTATTTATAACTTTCAAAAAATTAATAATTCCATCTTTTCTAAACATTTTATTCACATTTAGTTATTTAAAATTTTAGTTATTTTTATTTAAATTTTTATTTAAATTTTTATTTTTATTTATTTTTATTTAGTTATTTTTATTTAATTTTATTTAAAATTTAGTTATTTAAAATATAAAAAATCTTGGAACTCTGTCAATTTCTCTTCTATTTTTTTGTTCTAGTATATCCTTATATATTGTTTTACAGTTGTGAATATTATACATTACTTTTTTCCCTTTGTATATTTTATCTATATCATAGAATAGATCAATAATTATTTAGTTAATTAAATAAAACAAACACTAGAAAAATGTTATAAACTTTAGAATTAAATATATCTAATTTAATTTGTTTTCTTCCTCTCTTGTTCTCTAAACATCTTACTTTTGATGACGCTTAAGTAGATCCAGACGATGGAATGGTACAGCACAGATATTACAGTAAAACTCGCCAAATCTTTCTTCGCTTGCGTAAGCAGTGTCATTGTCATATTCCTCTGTGTCAGATTGAAGCATAGTATCACCATGCTTAACGCGTACGTGTTCTCGCAGACTGTTAACATCCCAAAACATTTCACTACAGGAAGTACATTCAAATGGACTGTCACCACCGTGAATACGTGCATGTGAAGCTAACGCTTTCTCCCTTGCAAAACCAACACCGCAGAACTGACAGATATAGGGCTTAGTGGTATCAGTTATTGGCCACCTTGATGATTGCTGCTCATTGGTAACAGCCATCTCTTCGTGCCATTTTGAACTAGATGCATAATTGCCACTATGTACAAAATCAAAGATGTTAAGTATTTTAAACAGTAATATACATCTCAATAGTTACATAATTCATTGCTTGGAATTATTTGCATTTTCAAAAGTTATATTTATTATAATCATATAAATCTAACACTAAATTCAATAGAAATTTTTCAGCCATTAAGCACTACATAAATTTTTCAAAGTTGATAGTCCTGAAGCTAAACACTGCAACAATCAATCACTAAATTAAATGGATAAACAGAAAAAAAGAATAAAATAGAAATAGCCCTTAAAAATGTAAGAGATTCCAAACATTGCTACAATTCATATAACACATACTTGCCCATCTCCATCTTGACTCCACTGGCATCTTGAGTGCTTTGTCGTTTTGGCAAACCAGTAGCATTATTACCTCTTCGTTTACGTGGCATATTTGATTGCACTTTTTTACGTCTTCCTTTGACAGTAGTTGTCATATCCTCTTCCTCTGGTGCCAAGATATCCTCATCGTTTATCTCATCCTCCAGACCATCCCGTGATGATGGCGCATATGCATGAATCTTCAGATGATTGTTTAAATCACATTTGCGTACATACCGTGCTCCACATAGATTGCAGCTATGTGGACGATCTGTTTGATGTGCTACCATGTGATTCATTAAATTTGCTTTCTTCCGGAATCTACGACTACAGAAGTCACATGGATATGGTCGGATGTTAGTATTTGAATCCTGATTTATTGGCAGCGGAATCTCCATGTCATCATATTCCAGCAAGTTATCATGTGCTACTTTTGCCTCTGGAATCTCGACTCTTTAAAAATAATTTATTAATATTGAATTTATTAAACTTGTACAATTTGTTTAAATTAACTTTATCATTATTTATTCTAAAGAATAAAACTTCTCATACATAATTAAATATAATTAAAGTTGATATAATTAAATATTATTCACTTTTAAAGGAATGAATAAAGATTTAGAAGTAATTTATTCACTATATTATATATCTATATATATAGTTATATATCTTATAAAATATATAATATAGCAAATAACTGTAGCTAAAATTACCCGTCATCTGGACCTTGTCTATCCCAATTGTCAGCTATTACTTCTTCTGTCACTTGTATATTTAAATAGTCATGACCTTGATCCTGTGGTACAATATAAATAGATTCCATGTCATTAGGTTGGGATACCATTAGTATTTCAGATTCTGTTGTAGGTGCTACATCAGGGACAGATTCAACAGTTTCTTCTACTGCTACTTCCTCACAAGCACCAATAACCTCTTCTTCTGTAGCAACCAATTGTGCTTCCAAATCACATATCACTTCCTCATGGAGTTCTACATTTCCCACTTCTTCTACCCACTGTAGTGTTAAATCACCACCAACTTCCATTTTGTTCAGTTTTTAAACTATTTAATTACTGAAATCACTGTAACATAAAGCTAAATTGAATACTTTTATCATATTTATATAGCTCAATTTCGCTAAAAGTTTAAGTAACTGATTCTATATTCTATATTCATTATTAAAATAAAACATTACAAAATTCACCTTATAAATTTAACAGAAATAAATTTAATATTTAACATTTGTATATAATTATGCTTTTATCATGAACTACCTAACGTTATAAACTTCTGCTAGAGACAAATATTAATCCCAAGCGATGAGTGAACTAATCACTCACAAACGACCAATTGATTTTCTATAGATAAAGGATTATATTATAAATGATTTTCCTGCTGAGGAACCGTTACGATTTCCTTAATTCGCGTGTTTTACGTTTCAGCATTCACGTTTTTTCTGCTTAACTATAACTAAATTCCTGACTCGTGAATAACATATAGCAGCAAATAATATCAGTAGATATCTTCTATCCCTTCCCTCTCATTATCCATCCATCAGTTATACAACAAACGATAATCGCGACGTATCGAAAACGGGCAATTGGCCGTCATTTCGCAGTGTTGATGTTTCAAGTCTAAGGTTATAATTATATAGGTTATAGTATTGGAGGTTATAACAACGTGTATGTTGCGTTGTCAGATCTGGACATGATGTTGGCGGGCCCAGCAGAACATAGAAAGTCGGATGAAGTGATACTGAGTAAAAGTGAAGAATGATATAATACGTTGATAAATGACAGTACAATGTACGATAATGATAAGAATGACGACATCCAACACGAAGGAAACAATATTAACTTCTTAGACAACGAATCTTCCGTTTTTGTCCGTAAACCGCGCATGGTAAAGATGCGGCATCAATATAAGAATCTTAAAACCGAATCAAAACACGAAAGCAAGATAGTGATGCGACGTACATAATATTGTGTAGCGAACTATCATCACGATTTACTTACTATTATAACAGAAGACGTCAAACGTAGCCAATAACCTAACCAAAGAATACTCTGTTGCGATCGAGATCAGCGTCGACCTTCGGTTGTTTTCAATATGGTGGGGAGGCGTTTTTAGAAATAAAACGTGACAAAATGGCGGCTGCGCTCGCGTTTGTACGCGCGATTATGAGCGCCACCATGAACTATGAATATAATTAGATGAGAATATCGTTACAAAATTTTTGTATAACTAAGGCCGGTATTCATACAATGATTTCTGATTCACTCATGATGCGCATGAAGCGACAGATAGTCCGTTCAATTTTATAGCGTTTTTCATTGGGAAAATGAGTGCGCACTCAATGCGCACTAGTCGTGGACGATGTGTTTCATTGGGAATTTCAGTGCACATTAAAATCATGCGTCGTGTTCATTGGAAAATGTAGTGTCGAGTTTTTGCACTTTCGTGCACAAATTCGGCACGAGCTCGGAGAGATAGTGTCGGTTGAGTGCAAAACATGGCGGCGCAGAACAGAGATGTTTTGAATGAACAAACGTATGTGATAATTTCGGATTTCCTTTCATCTTCATCCAGCAGTGATGAAGATGAGTATTTTCTTCGAAATCCGAGGCGAATTGTTCCTAAAATGAAAAACTTTTTGCAAATAGTACATCAATATTCCGATCACGACGTAAGTTTATTGTTATAATTTAGCTTGTGAAAATAAAAGTAGAAAGTAATTTTTATTTTTGTTGTAGTTCAAATCCCAGTTTCGAGGGCAACAGCATATGATATTATAAATAATTTCGAAAATTCGACGTTCTATTCTGGTGATACAAGCCACGGAGGTATTAAACCGTCCTCTGCTGAATCACACGTTTTATCTTTTTTGTGGTAAGTTTTACATATACATGTATAGTTTTTAATTCATCCACCACTCATATTATATATATATATATAATATTAAAAAGATTTCAAAAAATATTACTTTGTATAGGTTTGCAGGAAATAAAGTGTGCTTAAGAGATGTTGCACAAAGATTTGGAGTATGCGCTACAACGATTTTTCGACAAAATAAAAAAATGATGGATTTTCTATGCGATATAACTGGAAACGTCATCAAATTTTCTGACAAAGAAAATACTGCAAACGAATTCCTTCAAGTATGTATATTTAATTAATGTATTTTAATGAAGCTAAAGCTAGCAGCCGATTCATAGCTGAATTATGAAAGCAGTAGTTTTTAATTATTATTTAATAAATGTCAATTTCTTGTTAATTAATTATTTAATGCTAAAAATTTTTCTATTATTCTTTAGTTCTAAACAGTGCTTATGTGAATTTGCTACTAGTTTCAGCTTTATTGTATTTTATGTATGTTTTTCTAATGAGTTATTTAATGTATATGTATATAAAATTGAAGATTGCAGGATTTCCGAAAGTTCTTGGCTGCATTGATGGGACTTTCATTAAAGTCCGAACGCCAGCCCACAAAATAAAATCGACATATGTAAATAGACATGACATCCCTTCGATAACATTGCAGGGCATATGTGATGCTCGAAAGAGATTTATAGATACATTTACAGGAATCCCGTCGAAAATTCACGATGCGCGCGTACTCAAATTATCAGATATATGCGACGAGTTGCCAGGAATATGTGAAGGCGGAAAATATCACATTCTAGGCGATGGAGCGTATCCAATAAGAGAATGACTTATTATACCATTTAAAGACTACGGAAATCTGTCTGCAAAGGATAAACAATTTAATAAAATGCTGTCTGCGACTCGAGTATTGATCGAGAATGCGTTTGGACTGTTGAAAGGTCGTTTTCGACAATTAATCGAAGTTGATCTACATACTGTTGATAAAATATCAAAATTTATTACATCATGTTGCGTTTTGCATAACTTATGCATAGACAACAACGATAACTTTGATGTCGATATTGTTATAGAAAACAATGAAGATTATAATAATGAAGGCAGAGGTCAACAAGAAGCTCTATTACGAAGATTAGGGGAAGTAAAAAGAAACCAATTGATGAATGTACTTTTTCCATGAAATAAAAATTAATACAATATGAAATTATCAAACGTTTATTTGTCTTGTGGCAAATAAGTACATACTTTCCAATAAAAAGCAAAACATATAAAAACAAAGCATATTTTTTTTATAACACGTACATATTGATTATTTTTTCAAAATTCATATATTATATCTCTTATTTATTTCATAAACATGTAATTTTTTAACATACACGCTTTTTCAAAAAGTTTGATTGTAAAATTAAATAACACTGTTTTAAAATTAAATAACACAATAAGTTTATTTTATACTGGTTCATACTTAATAGTCTGAGCAGTACTATATCTTTCGTAAAGTGCGAAAATCAAAATATGCATACGCTAATATTAAAAACCAGTAATATTAAAAACAAAGACATACAATTAGTAAACGTACAAAATTATAAGAGAAAAAAAAATAATTAAAATTATATATCACATCCAGCGTTTTAGTTAGGAACTTTCATATTAACATATGGTTCAGGCTGATTTTACATTAGTCTTTCTTTGGTTTTTTTTAATATTTGCTTGTTTCTGTATCATCTTACTTTAGTTCCCGCTACTTTTGTTTGGCGAACAACTCCCGTATTAAATTCAACTTTTCTTGGTGACGTCTTTCTTTTGCCGCTTCTTTATTTTTCCAGTATTCCATCCTTTTATCAATATCACTTGGTTTCGATTTTTTTGTCTTCGGTGGTGAGCTATCAATAGAATGTGTAGAGGCACTATCATTGCAGATTTCTTCCGACATTCTTGTATTCAATTTAGGATATTTAACGCTCCTTGCATTTAGCAACACCTCGGGCTCAATACTATCGTCCGAATGAGCAATTTTAGGCAATTCTTCTTCGAATGGTACATCCTCTCTAGAGCTGCCTGATTTAGAGTTGTTCTCAACTGCTTTTTTTTTCCTTTTGAGAACGGTTTTATACCGATTTTCAACTTGAAGAGGAGTTTTTAATACGTCCAACATCGTCAGCATATCTTTTGAAATTTGCGCCCACATCAATTTTTTAGTTTTGAATTTTTTCATGGGACCAATATCCGACATATATGTTTCATATTTATCGAGAAGAAACGATGTTCCTGAATTGCTCCAATAATCTGAAAATCACGTTGTTTAATGATTAATACAATACAGCACCTACATTATAGCACCAGTAAACCTATTAGTAGGTATTACAATAATGTAAAAATTTTGTGAAGTCAAAGATTTTAAAAAATCTTTTATATTTTATATTACATTTTTCATATTATATTTATTTCATTTATATTATATTTATATATATTCTATTATACATATATATTGTATGTATTTTATTTGTTAATAACATATTTAGATTATATTTATTAACGTATCATTCTTCGTTTCGTATCGTATTAATTTTCTGCTCGAATATAACAAATACCATATTTTATAGTACATTATCATAGTGCTATGAATAGTCGTAAATGCTTTATTAAAACAGATTTACCGCTACTCTTCTTTCCTTTTTTATCGTACTCCTGCGATTGTGATTCATTCTGATCATATTCCTGTGATTCAAAGGATTCAAACATGAGTGCTTCATTTTCTTTATTCTACTCCGATAGCTGATCTTCATTGCTGCGATTATCACCATGAATATTCGCGTGGAATATCAATTGTTCTCTGTAATACAAAATATATTGACATTTTACACTGCCATATACAGGGTGAGTAAGGATCCTCTGCAACAAACTTAGACAGATTGTTTGGAAAGTCATTCTGATTAAAAAATGTCATATGAATATAGATCCTATTCTTAATATTTACAGACCTCAAATGTTCGACAGAATTTGACAATCACTGCTACGATGGTGTAATAAAATGTAATCAGATGGTGTAATCAGTGATGGTGTAATCAGATTCAGAATAAACACTTTGAACAACTCCTGTAAACTGTCCGCAAGGATACTTGAAGAAATAAATGCATAATTCATTTCATAACTGTACATGTCACCTAAATTTTACAACTTCTGTAACTATGTACATATTAAGAATAGGACCTGTGTTCATATAACATTTTTTACTCAGAATGACCTTCCAAACAATTTGTCAAAGTTTGTTGCAGAGGTCCTCTGACTTACCCTTTATTTTTTTTTAATTTTTTTTCTGTTGTGTACATTTGAATTCTGTAGAACTTTGATTCTTTGAAGAAATAATGAAAAATAAGATTGCTTGGAATTAATATATGTATGTAAGAAACTGAAGAGTTCCTGTTTACCCTAAAGTAAACTTACTTATTTTTTTAAAGTAAACTTGTAAAATAAAATGGTAATTATATTTTATAAAATAAACTTTGCTCTTAACTTCTTAATGTGCTTTTTCGGAAGATTTTGATAGCTTGCAATTAATACATCTCAAAAAAATTTTACTTACTCATCTTCAATCACTCGAGATATTTCTTCAATTTTCTGATTTTCGCTTCCATGTAGAACACACAATCCATTTTTAATCACAAGTTTTATATATTGTATGCTGTAGGTATCGTCATCTGAAATTAATTGACACAAGAATCAATAATATTCAGTTAATATTCTTTTATGTATATATTTTTGAATATCAAATGAATTGTGTTTTACAAGCTTTACAAGGGGTTATATATGCATTCAAGTTTTTCGAGTAGACAATATCCAAAAACTATTATGTACATAAGTACATATGTCTTTGCCGACAATTTATTTATACTACGGGAATAACCTCAAAATCCAAAATCATGCAAGTCCTATATAATTCTATACTTACTCATTATTTTATTGTATAACTCTGTTTCGCTTGATAGAAGTTTTAACGAGAGCATGTCATTATTGACTTTGAAAGAAATGCTTAATTCTTCTGATTGTTCCATAGTGAAGTTTACGTTAATGCATATATTTTCTTTCAATCCGAGGCGAATCGGTTCTTATGCGCACTCATCAAGTCATGAGTGTTTCATTGGGCGTGCAAAAAAACTTGCACTGTCGGTAAACTCGGGTAGTGTCGCCTAAACTCCACGAGTTCTTAATGCGCACTCAGTGCATCCCAATAAAAAACGC